ACGTTGATTCGCTTATTTCGTATCACAAATCATACCGTAACCTGCATGCTATTAGATTTACAGCAGTCAGACCTTAACCGGTACACATTGTCACCGGCTATTTTGTGTATTGGGGTGCATAAAGGTGTAGAGCATTACGCACTTCTCATAATCATTTGGTTTCTGTGACATCATACGAGTGTGGTCGGAATAAGCGTGTATTGGGTAGTGGGCAAAACTATTTTCTTGTATAGAGCCATATTGGCTACTTTGGTGACTATATCTCTATTTATCATGAACATGCCTTTACTCAAAAAAATTGGGGAGTCACGGTGACTAAGTGGGTAAGACGCTGGCTCGCGGTGTTGGCGCGAAAGTTCATCGGGATTATTTGGCTTGGTTCCCCCTGTAACTGGTGCACAACCAAGGGTCGGGCAGGGCGGCTGTCTAGTCGTTCGGATGGGACTAAAAACCGAGGTCCCGTATATACACTGGCGTGCACGTAAAGATATCTTGACAGTTGGAAGAGTAGACCATAGCGCCGCTGTCCGGGCAACATTTCCCACATAGCTCACTGATAGCACTCAGTATGGCGTATGCCCGTCTTCATTAGAGCAGGGCAGTGGGACGTTTATCCACATTTTATTTCATTTTCTCAAAAAATCGGTACTGTAGAGGTTTTTTTTTTAAGTTTCATTGCACGAACTTGCTGAACAATCCAAGATAGATAGAAAAATTAAAATCTCTGAACTATTGAGAGGTTTTGTTATCCATAACTTGGATTTGTATATGAAACCCACTTATAATCACTTAGCAAGTTTTTTGTCTTTTAAAGTAGCCATGTCTCTAACTCAATATCATCCAAAGTCTTCGACACTGAAAACCCGAATTATTTGTTAATTTAAATCAACATTGATGTTGTGATCTTACCGGGAAAAGACGGGCTTCTGATATCCAATATTTAAGACAAAATAAACATTTTACCATTGGTACACGAATCGTGTACCATAATGCGTTTCAACGCCAACTGTAACAAGGGACTCGAAGAACGAGGCTAGACATATTCCACAAGTCATGTCAAACGGCGACGTCATATTCTTATCTGGAGAGCATGCGCAATAAATACTATCGGTATAGACTGGAATAAGCAGACACTAGAAATTGCCATTCGTTTGAGAATTCTGGCGTATTTTTAGAATATAACTGATTTGAAATTAGAGTAAAAACTGAAACGATTGAATGTAAATCAGTTTATATCCATTCATAATTATATGCGCTGCGTCCCATTTGTGTCAATTTCTAGATCCAAAATATTAGCGATTTAGCTCCTTTAAATCTCAATAAGAAAACAATATGTAGAATTTTCAATGAATTGTTGACGGACGGATAATAACATATACTTCCACGTCAATAGTGGGCGTATAAACATATTATTTAATATGCAATCAAAACAGTATATAAATAGACAAAATATGGAATGTCAGAAGAAATTCATCGATGTCATTTGGTTCGGCTTAACCGCATTACTTTATTATTTGCCATTATACAGTGAACATTAATGCAAACCTTGGCCAATTCTCGAATTTTTGCCCTAAAAAAATATTATCTTTTCTCCTCTTTATATGTTTAAAATTGATCTATATCTTAAAATGTTTGGAATGATAATAAATCGGGTTTCTATTATAAGACCACCTGTTGATATTAATAATATACAATTTATTGACCTATTGTTCGTTTACATTCTTTCATAGGTATTCATCTATAATACTTAATTGCTAACATATACAGACGTCATATGCTGTAGCCCAGTGAGTACATGCGCTCGCTCACTAACCAGGAGGTCCGGGTTTCGAACCCGGTGTTTTTCGAGAAAGTTCCAGTGTGGTTTCCACTTCTCGTCAGCGGTAAGGACAGTGTCTAGTCGTTCGAGTGGGACGAAAAACCGAGGTCCAGTGCATACATTGGCGTGTACGTACAAGAACACTTGAAAGTTGGAATGCGATATAAAAGTTTGTCGTATCGCCACTGTCCGGGTAAACTTGCTCTCATAGCACACTGTATGTTGTACACCTGTCTTCGGATCACTAGCCCAGTCGGAGCAGAAATGTAGCTCGTTAAACTACGTTTCGTGTTATAATTTAGGCTAATAAATACTTGTCGTCTCCAAATAGTTACCTGGAAAAAATATTCTTCTCATCTGTGAACCATATAAAAGCGTTATCCCTGACTAGGATTAGAAGAGCTAGCTTAGAAGGGGTGTTATCGACGTCCGTTTGGACTCAAATTTGGGTTATTCTAGTAATATGTTGCATTCCCAAACACAGCCATATTTATAAAAGAATTTTAATGAACATTTTTATTTGAAACAACAGATGAAGAAATTATTTATTTGATAATATGTATGTGTTAAGAGTTAAATATACAAACTTACATATGGGTATGTTTACATATGTATCATTAGCGTTTGTTTACTATTAACATTTATGTACGAATGTATTGATTTAAACAGAATAGTTCTTTGGATAAAGTACAGTGCCGCGCAGGTAAGTAAAGTTACCGCAATATTCTCAAGAAATCATATTTGCCAAAAATATTTCCACCCCACTTTACTCAACACACTCTTTACTCTTATATAATATACAATTTTATATAACAATCAAATTATTCTGACGCATTCTAGATTTAGGGCCGCTTCAAACTATCAAAATTTAAAAATCTTCGTCTCGTTTCTTAATTTATGAGCAATCCGCTTCATGGGAGATAACTATCTTTTGGCATACCAAGGTGTGCTTAACACGCCAAAATTAATAAACAACCATTATTCAATATGATGAAAAATATGTTTGTGCAGTGTTCTATCAACTGTTCTCTCCTTCATAAATTATCCTGCATTTATAAAGTATTGAAGTCTAGACCTTTACTTAAATTGATTGGAATTCGGGATATAAGCATTATTATTGATCAAATTTTTGTGTGTATGTGTGGGGGAGGGGGGCGTTGGCTTGGTAAGAGAGAGAGAGAGAGAGAGAGAGAGACAGAGGGAGAGGGGGAGGGGGTCTTTAGCCGTGGAAGGAAACCGGAGGGCACGGAGAAAATTCACGAGTTTGGACAAACGACTCTACTCCTTATCACGTACACGGGCGGAGAGTGAGAGAGAGAGAGAGAGAGGGGGTCTTTAGCCGTGGAAGGAACCCGGAAGGCACGGAGAAAACCCACGAGTTTGGACAAGCGACCCTACTCCTAGTCACGTACAAGCGCGGAGTTGAAACCACGCAACTTGACTAAATGACAGCCCTTGTGATTTCATGCGCACGCTTTAAACCATTCGAAACCCCTTTCATAAAGAACGGAATGGTTGGTATTGAATAGCGATTTAGTTTATTTGTTTAATTTGGGAATATGATTTTTAAAAAATATTTCTTACATTTCAAGATAGAAGATATTTTAAAAACCAGCATGTTAAATTTTTACGTGTAGTGAAAAACTGGTTGATTTTGGTGATATCCTCTCAAAATTGGCAACACTTAGCTAAAAGAAAATGGTGTGGAGATAAGGAAAATTGAAAAGTGCATCGGAGTGAAAGACAAGCTGTTAAAAATAAGAGAAAAGAACGTGTTATCCATATTTGTGTAAACTTGCTATCATCATTTTTGGTTCATTTTAATTACGCCATAGAATAAATGCAGTTGTATTTGCAAGATAAAATAGAGAGAGTTTAAACTAGGTCATAAACATATGGTTCAATCAGGTTCAATTGTATTTTATTAATTCGCTTGCGCGTAGGGGTGGGAGGAAACCGAAGAACCCACAAGGTTGAACCGGTGACCCTACCCTTTGTCACGTACAAATAGGAATTGACAGATTCCATGACATACCTTAAGTTACAACGCGTACGCGTTAACCAGTTAACCGTTGTCGACCCTCCCCCTTTTCTAGGAGCAGCGACTAGTTGTTTGGATGGGACAACAAACATAGCCTACACATTGGCGTGCACGTAACACAGAGCCCTAGTTCAATGCATTAACCGCTCATCTGCCTCATCAACCGCAAATGAACTGGGCTAATGAAGACGGAAATTTATAAATATCGAATTCCAACTGTCAAGGGACCTTTTATGTGTACACGGGACTTCGGTTTTTCGTCCCATCCGAATGATCCGACTAGACAAGAGACCTCGGTTTTCCGTCTATCCAAACGACTCGACAGCTATTCTTGTCAGGCCCTCCGTCCTGCATCACTGACAAGGGGGGACCACGCCGGAAAATCTGGATGGACTTTCACTGTCAATGAAAGGATCGAACACCCGACCTCCAGGCTAGCCATGACTTAGCCACCGTGATCCCCCTCTCACCTACCGCAGCATTTATTTAATTAGACATCCCCAAGATAAATCAGACGATGCAAATGTCCATCCTTGTTTAAAGGTATGCTGTCCAAATCTCTGTCCAGAAAAATGCCAAATATGACACAATTGAGAGAGAGAGAGGGAAATGGGGTTTAACGTCCACTTGACACAAACTAGGTCATTTCGGGACTAACATATGGTTTAATTTTATTTCAATAATTCGCTTGCGGGTAGGGGTCTTTAGCAGTGGGAGGAAACCGGAGGACCCGGAGAAAACCCACGAGGCTGGACAGGCGACCCTACTCCTTGTCACGTACAACCGGGGATTCGAAACCACGCCAGTTGACTCAATGACAGGCCTTATGATACAGCACGCGCGCACGTGCTAACCATTCGGCCACCCAACCCCCGACGCAATTGAACGTGCACCCATTTATTTGTAAAAATACATTTTTTTTTTTTTTTTATAATATATCCTATAAAACACTGTGATAATCGGATATCATGTTTCAAATATTTCAAAAATCTCCTTGTCGACAGACCTTGCGTGAGAAAGGTCAATTACGTTGAGAGAGAGTAGCCTATCTGACCACACACAATCCAATCAAGCCTGTGAGCCACAGAGATACTCTGTGCTGTGAGCGTTTACTACAGGGGGGATAACTACCATTTACCCGACAATTTACCTGAAGAAATTGAGGAAGTGGGCAAATCAGTATTTATCACTCAGGTGTTTACAAATGGAGATATTTACAATTCACAAGGTTTCTGTATAAAACGAAAGGTATATAGGCCTAATTATGAATATAACTCGATTATGTGCATTATGAAACAGTGCCATTATATTAACTTTACAAAAAAGAAAGCACTGTTGTGAACGCCTTGAATTTGAATGGCTTGAATTTGTCGGCGCTTGAACTTCGCAATAAATAATGGGTTGGTGGTGTAATTAGTAACCTCTGAACTCCAGGCTGTCAGGCGATGCTCGAAGTTTATGTGATAGGGTCGGGTCGTCAGACAATGGGGTATTTTATGGCAACATGTAGGCTCTACATGGTAGACCTACATCGGTTTTTAGTCCCATCCAAACGACTGAACACTGGGGTCAAACTAGATAACTAACCTCATCTCTCATCTCTCCCTTATTCGAGATAAGAGATGGTGCTATATAGTTCCACATAGCAAAGCCCATCGCAAATCACATCGGGCCTCAGTAAGCAAAATTAACAATATTTTTCATCAAAACAACGATTGATTGTTATTTATAATATTTTTGCCACATTAAGCATATAATCCTACCTGAAATGGGTATAAATCATTGTATTTAAAATTGAGGCATTAAACCGTTACTAGGAACGCCATTTTTAAACGGGAGATATATGACGGTGTATGTCGGATAAAAAAAACACTTAATTAATTTAAACTCGAGCCACCCTGCCTCAACCCTGACCTCCTTGGACTAATAATGGGGTGTGATGATTTTAATTTGTCGAATATACTATCAGAGCAGCTTCAAAAAGAATGATCAAAAAGGCCTATTTGTAAATAATGATACTTGCAGATGGTTTTGTTAAATTACATTATGTATCCTGTTTGAATTGTATATATTGTATATATTTTATTTGACTATGTTCAAGTGTCATTTGATATTTGTCTTTATCTTGGTTAGGTGTAGTTGGGTTAGGTGTGCAGTCCTAATGTATTGTCTAATAATTTTATATGCCATTGAGGTTTTCAAACATTTATTTTTAGGTATGGGAGTATGATTTATAAAAGATACTATAGCAAGTATGCGTAGGAGAAAAATTTCTTTTGCATGTGGAAGGAGTTGTCATTTGAATTCATGCAATGACGAAAGACGATGCCAACATACTTCAGAACGATGGTTTGTCATCAACTGCACCGCCAGATAAAGTAAACAGCAGTGACAATAGTAATGAACACAACACTTTCATTCCACCGAAGGTATCAGTGACTTTAACTGACTCTGTGGCAGCGGTAACAGTGGCTGTACTAGCTTGTGTTCTGCTGTTAACTGTAGTTTTTATTATTAAAGCTATAAAAAGACGTAGAAGAGCTCAACGTGGTGAAGAGATAAATCACGTCCCAACCATTGCAGCAGGTGTAATGGGAACAGGTAAAATCTTGTCTGTTCAGTGCAGTCCTATTCCTGTTGGAATATACAAATATGTCTTCCTTAGTTTAAAATTTTTCACTGGGACAAGCTCACGGAACCCCATAATCTCTCGCTAAAATAAGATAGATAAGATAATATTTTTATTGTATCGAACATTCGTAACATCCATTGAGGACAGCATACAATATAAACGTATGTACATGTATGCTGGCAGCCACCTAAATATGAATATTGTCTGGTGGACTTTTGGTATGAAACTACTGTTACAAAATAAAAAAACAACACTCTGTAAAATAGTAGGCCGACTGGCCGACATAAAATATAATACAGTTCTCGTTAGACCTAATAATATCTACTAACTAAGATTCATTGGTTCCCCTTTATATGCCCACATGGAAATGTGGACATATATTGTGGCATTGTCTTCGCCCCATCCGTCAGTCAGTCCGCCCGTCATCCACAATGCCTTGTGCATGCTCTAACGCCAAAAGTTATCATCCGATTGTTTTAACATTGATATATGTTGTTTAGATTAGTTAAATGAAGAATCCTATTTAATTTCAATAATTTCCGTTTATTACACCCTTGTTTCACTTTGTTGAACCATGTGAACGCTCTAACGCAAAGAATTATCATCCGATCTTTGTGAAATTTATATCCTTCATTTAAATTAGTGAAATGAAGAAGCCTATTGAATTTCAGCAATTTCCGTTTATCTAAGTTATGGCCCTTGTTTCACTTTATTGAACCTTGTGAATGCTCTATCGCCAAAAGTTATCATCCAATCTTTGTGAAATTTATATATGCATTATTTAAAATAGTGAAAAAAAGAATCCTATTGAATTTCAGCAATTTCCGTTATTTACTTCTATAGTTATGGCCCTTGTTTGACTTTGTTGGACCTTGTGAATGCTTTAACATCTAAAGTTATCTGCCGATCTGTATGAAATTTATATGCGTCATTTAAATTAGTAAAAAGAAGAATCCTATTGAATTTCAGTAATTTCCGGTTATTACGTCTAGAGTTATGGCTCTTGTTTCTCTTTGTTGAAAGTAATCATCCAATCTGTATGAAATTTATATGCATCATTTAGATTAGTGAAACCACGAAGCCTATTGAAATCCATTAATTTGCAATTCTAGAGTTATGGCCCTTGTTACACTTTGTTCAACCTTGTTAATGCTCGATTGATGAAAGTTATCGTTCGATATGTATGAAATTATATGCATCATTTAAATTTGTGAAACGGAGGACTATTGAATTTCAGCAATTTCCGTCAATTATTTCTAGATTTATGACCCTTGTTTTACTTTGTGAACCTTGTGGACGTTCAAATGACAAAAGTTATCCGATCTGTATGAAATTTATATGCATTATTTATATTAGTAAAACGAAAAAAGCCTGTCAAATTTCAAAATTTTCGGTAAATTACTTCCAGAGTTAAGGCCCTTGTTTCAGTTTGTAGGACCTTGTGAAACCTCAAATGACAAAACTTATAATCTGATCTGTATGAAATGGTCTTGTAATATGCGACAACCCTTGTCAACAGTTCAGACGATTTAGCTGCTGTGAGCGTATGTTTCGTTGCCTGGCAACCTATCTTTACCATAGCTGATCATGTACTCCCCGTACCAATGAAACTTTTCATGATTTACAGAAACCAGGAAAGCACCTAGAGGACATGTCAATGTGTAGCACCCTCATGTTGTGGTGATATAATAGATGTTGACCACATTTTAAATTCCCAGATTTGTTTATTCTAGGTGTAGCAGCATACAATACTAATAGACATCATAATAACACTGTAGAAGGAAGCATTAGTTGGGAACCAGTTACTCCTTTACCTTCAACTTCAACTAGTTTACACTTTCCACCAAGGGGAGATAACTCGGTTTAATTGTACCACGAAGAGATAGCTCAGTTATAATCAGTAAACGAAGGGAACTCATTTGAATTTACTGTGATAGACTATAGACTTACAGTTTTTTGGACAATTTGTACATATTTGTGCCATAAGTAAATAAGTGAGCACAGGTTTGCCTTTTTGTATTTAAAACAGTGTTAATTTATGAAAATAATATTCACAAAAATATGTCTTGTACCAGTTTGTGTCAGGATTTATTAATCCTATGGTAGGCCTATGCATTTAAAAATATTTATATTATCTTTTATATTATCTTCTGATATGAGATACATGTACCCAGTGACGAATCATGACGAGGGCAATAGAGGCAAAAGCCTAGGGGCCCGGGGATTTGGTGACAAAAAAAAAATATTTATTTTATATTTTGTAGAAAAAAATAATGAAGACCCATTTCCCAAAATGAGTTTTGAAATTATTAGGTAGAGGGACACAAGAGGCATAGATCAGAAAAAAATTGATATCAATTATCTTGATGTGACACATTTTGAAAATTCAACTGATTGAAATGCTACTGACTTGCAGTCTGATTGATGTTATTTATTAATTCTTTTTGCAAACTCATGTAGTCCGATTTGGATAACAGGAATGTGGCATAACCGTTAAAAAAAAAAATCTTGAATCAATTCTCCAAGTATATTCCTGAAGAAACAAATTCTGCACTATTCGGAAATATGATCTGCAACAACTGCTTAGAACTAAGCATATGACTTCCCACCAGGGATATACTCCATAGACCACCATTTCGAAATTTCAAAATTTTTTGGGGAAGATCCCCTCAATCTCAGGGGGAAAGAGCCCCCAAAAAACCCTAGTGTCATCTTGTCACTGGGCTCGACAGCTACGCTGCCTCAGGGCCCAGTGATCTCATGATCTGCCACTGCATGTACTATATGTAAAACTTTCTCAAATTTTGAATTCATAGAAAAAGGTTACATCTTTTGATCTTAGGATCTATAAGATCAATTTCTGTGGAAGTAACTTTTTCTAGGAGTAAAATATTTGAGACCTACACTGTACGGGTATATCTTATTGCGCGGTAGAGAATAAAGAATTATATAAACTGTGTTATATATCATCTTATTTACAGATAATCTTAGTTATTTTTACCACAGTTAATTTTTATATTGTACTACATGTACATCAATAAATTTAACATGACATTTTTGAATGAAACTGGCATTCAGATACCATAATATTAACTTTTTAACTATACAAATCATTTCTGTTGATGTAACGGGCTGCTTATTGTTGTGAATTACAGGAATAATTCTCTGTCAGTCTGTGGTTTAGAAGTTATAACCATTTGGAGTGAAATATTAGGCTGCTATTCGGTCAGACTACAGTGTAGTGGAAACAAAATTGTAATTTTCTTGGAAGCACATTTCTCCATTTATGTTGTTGAGATAATTTGTAAATGTCTTCAATCCTTCTTAATCAATGTTGTATGCACAAAATTAAAGTAGAGCATTTATCACTGCCACAGAGATTTTTAAAATCAAGTTATACTTGGAAAAAAGCTTAACACGTAATTCTGGGAAAGGACATGGCCTTATGGTTTTGGTCACTGTTCATAACTTATAAATTTTGATATATTATTAAAATGTCTAAATCAAACAAGGATGCTCTGCTTTGTGAAAAAGCTTTACATACCAATGAGTACCGAGTTTTAAGCTTAGTTTAAATCTACCGATATTCTTAAAAATTTATTCATTGGGGCTGATTAATTCATTGAGCCTGATGAATTCATTGAGATAAACATATAGATATATTTTATCTATATTCTTATTATAGTCTACTGTATTATAGTATAATTTACTTTTATCTGTTCTCCCATTGTAGAGGATAAAAGTTCATCGCCTTAATTATATACATTTGATAGTCTCAAACACCCAGACCATATATACTTAGATCCATGAAAATGTACCACCTTTATAAACTGGTGATAATCTTGTTTGAGAGATACATTGTTGGATTTTAAAAAGATTAGGAAGTGCCTGTCTATTAATTAAAACTATTTATTAACCTGTGATATAATTGATCAAAATTACACTTACAATGAGATTATCATATAATTTATTATTTACATGTATATAGAAGCTCTTAAGTTGTGTATGTCAGAATGTCCCTTTGTTATGATATCAACATCTTCACATTTCTTGTTAGTATAATTAGACAACAAAACTACATGTATCTTGTTGAGATTGATAAGAACAGTTTTGCTCATTGGTTTACAAGTTATGCCCTTTATTATGTAAACTTGGGCTGCAATTATTAAACTATGTTTCTGAAATTTATATTGGTTGGCTATCCTACTGAAAGGAAGAATCCTATTTATTTTCAATAAATTTTGATTTGCAGTTTTTATGAAATTAGAATATTAAAATTATTGTCTTAATAAATGGGATTAATTGATTTTCATGAAAGGGGAGAACCACTGTCAAACAAATTGCATATGAACAAGTAATCATGAATGCATGAAAACTTTTCATACTTGAAACTTTGCATACCCATTCCTTATACCATATTGTTTTTGGTGAATGCCCGACCCCCAGTGGGTGAGTCACACCCATGTTTCCTTTGTGTGTCGACTACAGGTCACAATTTTTAATGGACCATCTTGGAACTTAGTATATGTATTCCTTCTAGCCTAAGGATGACAACTATTGATTTTCATGCATGACTCGACCCCCAGGGGCAGAGCCACGCCCAATTATTGTGTTTATCATAAACTGGCCGCAATTATGAATGGATCATCTTGAAACTTGCACAGGTATTCCTTATAGCCTAAGTGTGGCAACTATTGATTTGGGTGCATGTTCCGACCCCAGGGGCATCGCCACGCCCAATTTTCGTGTTTGGCGTCTAAAGGCTACAATTCTGGATGGATTATCTTGGAACTTGGTATACTTATTTATTATACCCTAAGGACGGTAACTATTGATTTTGGTGCAGGAATGTGGACTATATTGCAGCGGTAGCGATGCTCTTGTTTTATTATATTAAACTATAGTACACCAAGCATTGAAATCATGTAAAAGTAATAATATACACACACTATTGTGCTTTCTTCATATATACTGTAGTTGAAATCTTTATAATCTGGTGGTGTACTGAGCACTACAAGATTTTATTTAATTGTACAATTTTACTTTACATGTTCTCTATCATTCCATATATATATTATTGTATTATTATTTTATATTAAAAGTATGTTTTAAGAAAAGCTATTTCAGGCCCAAAACAGTCCACAGAGACCATAACATTGAAACATGGGCATGAGGAGTATAAATCAAATCATTAACATGTGTGTCCACTTCTAGCAAGAAATCTGCCGCATGTATAGACTCTGAATAACAGCTTGTGGGTTCCTTCTCCTACTTGTTGCATTGCTGTTTATGGGCCATTATGGTGATTCTTGTATATTGTAATCACTGTTTAACCGATCATAAATAGGATGAAACAATTGGTAACATTATTATATGGTGTGTTTGTTAGCTTCATTGTCAATCTCGGCTCCCTGTGAGAAGTTTACCGTGCGTTTATCTCTGGAAAAACTCGCCGGCCATTATTTATCAATCTTAGTTCGGTTCCTAGTCTCTCCGCCAGTGGCTCCTGTATTGGATAGATTTGTTTGAATGAAATGCTGCCGATTTCTCGAAAGTTAGGCATCGGTTCGTTGCATGGAAAGACAGGCCCGTTTTAATAGTCCCCTTCTTTCTCGATAAAAGAGAAACAGAGTATCATTATGAACCAAGGCTATTTTAAAGACAAGGTACAAAAGCAATGACGTAAAATATCACTTCTTCACAGATTTATTTCAGTTACAATAATATTATAGTATTCATCACATAAGTCCTTTAAAAAGGGACATTTTTAGCCATTAATACTATACAATACTCATATAATAACAGTATGTGATTTTGGTAATCTAAGAGATTAAAACTTAATAATTAGGACATGTGAAAATGAATTGGAGTATGATTAACAAAGATTACAAATAAAAATAATGAACCATCGTCATAACATAATTATTTCCTGATCGTCAGTTATACTACTTTTCACATATATAATAAATCGATATTGAGATTTTAAAATACAAACAGCTTTTTAATTTAGATATAATATAAAATAAAGCTTTAATCAAAACAATTTTGATTTATTTAAACAAAAGAGAAACAAAACTGATTAAAAGCTGTATAATGGGTCCCAAATGGACATGACCAGTTCTATTAAATATGAAATAGACAGAAGTTGCTTAAAATCATAAATATATTATTTGTTAGCTCATATTCTAAATGTCTATATACTGGGTGTTCTGGATACTTTTTGTGTAAAGCTGGCTATCACAATTGAATAATAACTAACATATTTAATGATTGGCAGGAGCAATTAAGAAACGGTACACCAGGGCAGCTGCTACAGCTATTCCTAATGGTAACAACCAACTTGTTATACCAGAGCTGTAATTAAAAATAAAAGACATATGGCTTCAAATGCAAATTTTAATTAGATTCTTAAGATTAGGCTGGCCTTGAATCTGTGCATGATAATAATAACTAACTGTACTAATTTGTTTATTCAGAGAAAGACTGGACTGAAGGAGCAGAAATCAGATCATATGCAAAATTTTCCAAAGAATCATAGAAAATGGACAAAAATCCACAATTAGTGAAGTGAGACGTGGTCATTTGACCTTGCAATTTACCTCAATATGTAGAATTCTCATTGAATAACACATCTGTAATCAAAGTTAATATCTTATGTGTGATCGGTATACCACTTAAATATATGTTCTTAATTTTAAAAATAGAAATCGGCTAAAATAACAAAGAATAAATATCAATACAGATGCAAATAAGGCAGTCGCCATTCTCCAAAAGCCTTATAAATGTGGATGACAGGAGAAATTTTGTGATAGAGTAGAATCTGTTTTAAGCAGCCACTCACAGGAATTTTCATGACTGACCGCTTAACAGGAGTGACCTCCTAATAAAATCTCAGTGTTTGTTAGTGCTGATGTCATGCATAACATCAATACTTGCATTGGTAAATTTGGCCGTTGCTGAAATTTACTTTAAACGAAAATTCTTTGACTCAAATCTCTGATGTAAACGCGTCATTTTGTACCAACATTGATACTACTGTCTACCAACGTGATGTATTCGATAATATTTATCCATTTTTGTAAAGAAAACTGATTTGGCTACTTAGGGTTAGTAGTGGAAGTCAAAAGTAGCCGGGTCTACGTACTAGGCCAGAAAACCCTCGAATTAATTTTATTTTATCAAAAAAGCACATGTCCAAAAAACATCGCAAAATTTATCACCGATTTTCAGAGAGAGCAACTCTGTATGTAATATAGGAGGCGCTAAAACATTGGTTCAGCAACAAAGTAGCAATGGAAAATAGATACTAAATGATCGTGACAAAACTCGGCTTTGTCGGTACTTCTAGTTTATTCAATCGGTATCAAATAATGTTTCTCGTTACGTGTGAAAACAATGATCAGCAGATCAGGGTTTGTGATTTAGTAAAACAAAAGATTAACAGGTAATCTCGGTTTTATTGTTATTTTCACAATTCTTTTTACCTAATCGGTGGGAGGCCAGATAATTAACTATTAATCACAGGATTACCAGAGGCACTACGAAGTATGACAAGATGGTATCATTTAACAATGGCCACTGAATGGGCGATGTTTTGTTAAATTTATAACTAAAACAATGACCACTGGCCACGTTAGAGGAGTGATCGTTGTAGAGATGAGACAATAACAATATAATTTATACGGGGGGGGGGGGGGGGGGGGGAATTTATTGTGACCGCTTACAAGGAGATGTCTAATAGGAGATGTCGCTGAATAGGAGTGGCTGATCGTGCAGATTTAGATGTATTTAAATTTCTATAATTGTTATTTACCTGCTGCTTGTATCTGGCGTTATTATTCCTGTATTTTTCTGAAGACAAAAAAAATATATACAGTATTTACTATTTACCATAGTGATTGTGCATAAATACATGTAGATTTTACAAAAGGTATAAGATAAACAATTATCAATAGGTAGTGCATGTATAGCTGTGTCCTGTATGGCCATGACAGTTTGATTTTGAAAAAAAGAATGAGCCTGAAGTGCTGCTGTGCACATAAAATTTCCCTCACCGCACACAGCAAGATCCCTTGTCAGTGATGCAGGACGGAGGGCCTGACAAGGACAGCTGTCTAGTCATTCGGATGGGACGAAAAGCCAAGGTCCCTTGGCAGTTGGAATTCGATATAAGAGTAGGTTGTAGCGCCACTGCCCGGGCAAAATTTCCCTCATAGCACACTGTATGGTGTATGCCCGTCTTCATTAGCCCAGTTTAGGAGCAAAACAGTCGGACGTTAAACCCCATTTCATTTCACACTGCAAGATGTATGCCCAGATGAAGCAGAAAAGTAGGATTCTAAACCCAATTGCAACTCATAAGTGGGATTGGTTAAACTGCATCATCAATGAAAGCCTAATTCTCTTCTACTAATAACCACATATACAAAAAGAGGGCATAAAATTATGTATTATTACAAAGGTATTAATTGTAGTGATTTGAGACACAATATTTACAAGCCAAAATAACATCCAGATGTCATATGGTAATCCAGATGTCATATGGTAATCCAGTATATATCTTATGTGGATGTTTCCACTAAACTATGACCCTTGAGGCTAGAAACAGTAGAAACATACTCTTTAGTGAAGGTAATATAGGTCTCAAAATTAAATCGAGAGCGGTTTACCTCGACTCTGGGAGAGGAGAGAGAGAGAGAGAGAAATGGGGTATTATGTCCACTCGACACTAACATATGGTTCAATTCTATTTCATTAATTCGTTTGCGCGTAGGGGTCTTTAGCAGTAGGAGGAAACCGGAGGACCCGGAGAAAACCCATGAGGTTGGACAGGCAACAGTACTCCTTGTCAGTTTTGTCACTCACAACAAGGGAATCAAAACCATGCCAGATGACTCAACTCATAACAGACCTTATGATGCAACGCTCCCACGCTAACCATTCGGCAATCCATCCAACCTTCCCCACTTACCCGATTCTGGGAAGATGATGGTGGAACAAACTAATGCTTAGTAAATTTGCAGAGTCATATTTTTAGGTAAATGGGACAAAAAACTTTGGAAATGAAATTTAAGGACTGAAGATATATACCTTTGTTTCTTTAGTACTTTTCTGGCTCTGTAAAGAGAAAATAATTAACATTCAAAATGTTGTAGATAAACATCCATTTCAGTAAACAAGAGATTTAAAAAAAAAAGGTTGCCAGGCAATGAAACATACTCTCATAGCAGCCGAATTGTCTTAGCGGTCAACTAGGGTTGTCGCATATTTATACTGTTGTAGATCAGATTATAATTTTCGTCATCTGAGGGTTTACAATGTTCTTCGAAGTGAAACAAGGGCTTTAACTCTGGAAGTAACCTAATTTAAATGAGGCATATCAATTTCATACAGATCAAATGATAATGGAAATTGCTGAATTTCAATAGGTGTCTTCGTTTCACTAATCTAAACAAGCCAACAGTGAGGCTGATGTCCCTCGCTGACATCCCAAAATAAATAGATGACACATATTAATTAATCGCACATTTATTTTTTCGAAAGTATCGAGCAATCAAACTGATTATCAACTATACAGTTTCATCACTCTCTATCAGATAGAATCAAAGTTATCTTGTCCCAAAGCATCGACCAATGAAATTGCTTAGCTCTGCTTAGCTTTAGCTCGAAATGTTAATCATTGAACTCGGTCAAGACATTCACCTAATGAACGTCTACATCAAGTTTAAACATTCTACCTTATTAAAAGCAGAGCTGTTATCTCTCAAAGTCTTGACCAATTAAACTGCTTATCGTTCCTTGGCCTAAGCAGAAAATTCTCATCATTGAACTTAGTCAAAGTAATGATATAATGAATCTATACTCAGAGTTTCATCGCTCTTACTTAATTATAAAGTTATCGTGCCCCAAAGCATCAACCACCCCAAAGCATCAACCAATCAGATTGCTTATCTCTGCTTACCATATGCAGACATGAACCCCATCAAGGCATTCACCTAATGAACGCCTACACCACGATTGAACATTCTACCTCAATTAGAAGGAGAGTTATTGTGTTCCAAAGTCTCGACCATTCAAGTTGCTTATTACTCTGCTTATTTCATTTCATTTCTACCCTCAGCAGAAAATGTTCATTATCGAACTTAGTCATCAAAGTATTGATGTGATAAAACAATACACCAAGTGTCCTCACTCTCACTTAATAAGAACTAAAGTTATGTGTCCTAAAGCATCAACCAATCAAATTGCTTACCCTAAGCAGAAAATGCTCATCTTCGAACTCCATCAAGGCATTGACCTAATAAACACCTACAACAACTTTATACATTCTAGCTCAATTAGGAGTTATTATGTGACGAACAGACAGAAAGGCATATGATTTTCATAGAAATTGGAGGATAACTTTTGTTGTTACAGTGTTCATAGTGCAACAATGTAAATAACGCTAGACGTTAAATATCGGAAATTGCTGAAATTCAATAGGCTTCATTAATATACATGTACGTGCTGCATATCAATTTCACACAGATCAGATGTTAACTCTTGTCATTCCAGCTTTAAAAGATGCAACAAAGTGAAACAAAGGTCATAACTTCAGAAGAATTTAACGGAAATTATTGAAAATAATTGTGGATGATGAACCGACAGGCCAACAGACGGTGGGGGCGACTGCAATATACATGTGCGTCCACATTTCCATTTCACATCGACTGATATCCTTCGAAATATATGGTGCCTGTACATGTATCGGCCAGTCATTAAACGACTATAAAAATCTTTAATAAAAGTACCTCGTGAACTTTTCCTATCAAATGTTCTTTCATTAATTCTCTAGCATCTGTGGAATGACCAACATCTTCAAAAGCCTCAGTAGCTTCGGCACCTGCAATAATATATATTTGAATATTTAGTTGGGAATATTTACCTACACATACATGTACCATTTGAAAAGCAATGTATTAACTGAGCAACATTTACGTGTATCTGATAGTGTTTGAACATAAATTGGAAGTATTTTTATAAGGATAGAGGATACAACATATGTTACTGAGAATGCATTAGACAGTCATAATTTACATTAAGATCAGTTGCCAGGCAGTGAAACATATGACAACAGCAGCTAAATCGTCTGAGCAGTCGACAAGGGTTGTCGCATATTTATTCTTTTGTAGATAATTGAGGGCATTTACAAGACAATTTCATACAGATCAGGAACAAGGGCCTTAAATTTGGAAGAAGTTTACAGAAATTGTTGAATTCGACAGGGTTTTTATCATTTTACTAATTCAAATTAATGCATATAAATTTCATACAGATCAGGTGATAACTTTCGCATTCAAGTGTTCACAAGTACGACAAAGCAAAACAAGGGCCAGTAATTGACAGAAATTGTCGAAATTCAATAGGATTATTTGTTTCACTAATCTAAATGATTCATATAAATTTCGTACAGATCAGATGATAGCTTTCATCATTCAAATGTTCACAAGGTTCAACTAAGTTGAACAAGGATGATAACTCTAGGCATAATAATTGAGAATTGTTAAAATTCAATAGACTTCTTTGCATCACTAATTTAAATTATGCATAAAAATTTCATACAGATTGGATGATAACTTTTGTCAGAGTATTCACAGGGTGCAACAAAGTGAAACAAGGGCAATAACTCCAGAAGAAATTAACAGAAATTGCTGAAATTCAATATGATTCTGTGTTTTAAGTTTTACTAGTTTAAATGATGCATATAAATTTCATACAGATAACTTTTGCCGATGGAGTGTTCACAAGGTTCAACAAAGTGAAACAAGGGCAATAACTCTAGACATAGATTGTGAAAATTGCTCAAATTCAATAAGCTTCTTCGTTTCACCAATATAAATGATGCATACAAATTTCATACAGATGTGAAGATAACTTTTGTCGTTCAACAAAGAGAAACAAGGGCAATCCATACCTCCAGAAGAAATTAAATAGACATTAATGAAATTAAATAGTTTTCTTAAACTCACTGATGTCAACAACATAATATATATAGAACTTTAAAAACAGTAATGATAAATGTAGTCTGTAGAGTGTTCACAAGAAATTGTAGAAGACGGACGGACATGGGCGACGGCAATATACGACCACATTTCCATGTGGGCGTATAAAAAATTTTTTTTTAAAATTTGGATCCATATGGATTGAGCAAAACTCCATTCTATTGGTCCAAAAGTCTTTGTCATTTAACATAAACAAAGGAAGAGAGCTCTTGTCCAAATGAACAATTCCTGCAAATCTGAAAACAATCCAGTAGGGTGTTCAGATGACATTGTAGACAAATCATGGCCAATAAGGGTGACAAGCTTATATGATCACCTTAAATGTGGAAGTACAAAAAGATTAATAACTATTGATTAATTTTATGTCCTGTGTTGCCACTGGACTGGTAGACCTACATGTAGTACTACAGAGTTATAAATACCTGCTTGTTCTAGTAGAACTTCTTCTCCTCCAGGATGCTGAAGATAAAAACAATATAATCATAAATAACAAACTAGAACTGCGATGCAGTAATGACGGGTTTCACCGGTGCCACGTTACCCTAAACATATGTCACTTCCGGTACCAATGAAACCATTAAACAGGTTTCCACCTCATCATTGCACACATCAAATAAAATGGACGCCGAATCAACCAAATCCAGCAATATCAATTCATTTTATATATTTGTTACATGTAAGTGTACAGTACTTCCGGTGATAATGAAAATATTCAATTAGTTTTATGAAATCAGAAATGGCATAAGGCATCACATGGTGAAAATTTTATGTAAATCGAATAATAATTGCCACTTTTATAGACCAAAAACCTTAAAAAGTGACTTGTAGAAAACCGTCAATTGCTCTGCAACCATACAAGTTAGAAACCATTTTCTGGAATCTGTATGATCGTATGGGTTTATTCTATTTGTTGATTGGAATCAAATATCATAATTTTAAAAACATAACAACTCAGACTCATTTGAATAAAATATCTGTTTTGAAAGCTAAAAATACAGTTTTTGCTAAAATGACGTTACTTCCGGTGATAATGAAAATCTTAAATTACTTGTATGAAATCGTAAATTGCATTAGGTATCACATTGTGAAAATTTCATGAAAATCGAATAATAATTGACACTTTTATGGACAAAAAACCTTGAAAAGTGACCTGTTGAAAATTACCTATTTCTCTACAACTGAACAAGTTAGAAACCATTTTGTGATACCTATATGATCGTATGGGTTCATTCTATTAGTTGATGAGAATCAAATATCAAAATATTAAACAAACAACAAATACGACTCATTTCAATAAATTATTTGTTTCTAAGGCTATAAATACAGTTTTTACCCAAATTTCGTCATTTCCGGTGACATGGAAAATGTTAAATTGAGTTGAACTAGTCACAATTGACATTACGCATCAAATGGTGTCACTTTTATGAAAATCCAATAATAATTGACTCTTTTACAGACACAATAGCGTAAAGAGTGACTCATGCAAAATTGACCATTTCTCGGCAACTGCTCATATTACAAACTAATTTTGAGATAGATTCTCTTCGTATGGATTAATGCTACAAGTTTATGAAAGTTGCGAAGAAATATTTTAAAATATGAAAAGCCTGAATGGGTTGTAAATAGCTCATTTTTTCACCTTTTTTCACCTTTAAATCAAAATGACCCGAAAAAGAAATCGAAATTAAAAAATGCTACAAGTTTATGAAAGTTGCGAAGAAATATTTTAAAATATGAAAAGCCTGAATGGGTTGTAAATAGCTCATTTTTTCACCTTTTTTCACCTTTAAATCAAAATGACCCAAAAACGAAATCGAAATTAAAAAAACTGAGCCCGATGTTTTCTGCGCCTTTACAGGGCACACACTTTCAGTCATACCAGATTTGAAAAAAAAAGTATTTGCTTTCAAAAAGTGGTACCGAACTGTCAAAATTGTAGTTTTTGCTAAATTTACGTCACTTCCGTTGCCGAAAGGTAACTTTACCGGTAACAAAAAAAATGACATTTTGGATTACGGAGCATATGAACTTTGTTTTATACAAATCGAGCAATAAATAATTAATCCAGGACTGAAAAACTGTATTAGCCAATGGGGGTCAAGGAAATTTACGATGACAAAAAATGGTGCCATTTTTGGTCAAATCAAATGACTCTTTAACCCTGGGTAAAATACCACATTAAAATATTCATGAATAAAAAAGTTTTTTGTAAAAATTTAAATTTTCAAAATTTGGCGCCTAATATCTCCGACGATTCGTGGAAAATCAAAAATCTAAAGAACCGTGGCTATGTGCCTTGTCTCTGGCTATGTCAAAATGTATCCAATGTTAAAATCCGACGATTATTGTTAATATTACGGCAATATTTCAAAAATCGACAAATTCGACGATTTCGGACATTTCGCATTGTCGCAGAACGTTCGAAATAGCTTTAATCTCTAAGTCACACCCACTTTTCCAGTAAAACCGAAGACATCAAATCAATCCGACAAGTAGTTTCTGAGATACAATCAAATTGGAAAAAAAAAAATAATAATAATAAAAAGAACTAGAACTGCGAAGCAGTAATGACGGGTTTCACCGGTGCCACGTTACCCTAAACATATGTCACTTCCGGTACCAATGAAACCATTAAACAGGTTTCCACATTAGCATTGCACACATCAAATAAAATGGACGCCGAATTAACCAAATCCAGCGCAATCAATTCATTTTATACATTTGTTACATGTAAGTGAACAGTACTTCCGGTGATAATGAAAATTTTCAATTAAATTTATGAAATCAGAAATGGCATAAGGCATCACATGGTGAAAATTTTATGTACAGTAGAATCTGCATTAAGCAGCCACCCAAGGGAATTTTCACAACTGACCGCTTAACGGGAGTGGCCTCTTAATAAAATCTCGTTGCTTTTTGTGCCGACATAAATTAAATATAACGCTTGGATGCATTGGAAGCGGCAAATTTGGCCGTCGCTGAATCTTGCGCCGAACGAAAATTCTTTACTCAAATCTCGGACATAACTTAACGGGAGTGGCCTCTTAATAAAATCTCGTTGCTTTTTGTGCCGACATAAATTAAATATTACGCTTGGATGCATTGGAAGCGGTAAATTTGGCCGTCGCTGAATCTTGTGCCGAACGAAAATTCTTTACTCAAATCTCGGACATAACTTCTGTAAACTTGTCATTTTGTACCAACCTTCGATACTACTGTCTACCATTGTGATGCATTCGATAATATTTATCCATTTTTGTGAAGAAAATCGATGAATTCATTTTATTTTATCAAAAAAGCACATGAACAAAAAACATCGCTAATTTTATCACCTATTTACAGGGGGTGTAACTCTGTATGTAATGTTATAGGAGGCGCTAAGAGAGATACTAGATGATCGTGACAAAACTCGGTACTTTTATTTTATTCAATCAGTATCAAATAATGTGTCGTTACGCGTGAAAACAATGATCAGGTTAGTCGTTTAATAAAACAAAAGATTAATTAACAGATAATCCCGGGTTGATTGTTATTTTTACATTTCTTTTTACCTGATCAGTGGGGGTCCAGTTAATTAACTACTACTCACGGGATTAGCGGGGGTGTTACAAAGAACGACAAGATGGTATCATTCAACAATGGCCGTTGAATGGGCGATGTTTTGTTGAATTTATTAGTAAAATAGTGACCGCTGGCCGCGTTAGAGGAGTGACAGTTGAATAAAGAGATGAAACAACAGAATTTCTACGGGGGGAATTTATCGTGACCGCTTACAAGGAGATGTCGCTGAATAGGAGTGGCTGCTCATACAGATTCTACTGTATATCGAATAATAATTGCCACTTTTATAGACCAAAAAACTTGAAAAGTGACTTGTAGAAAATCGTCTATTTCTCTGCAACCGTACAAGTTAGAAACCATTTTTTGGGTATCTGTTTGATCGTGTTGGAAAATGAAATGAAATGAAATGGAGTTTAACGTCCTACTGTTCTGCTCCTAACCTGGGCTAATGAAGACGGGCATACGCCATACAGTGTGCTATGAGGGAAATTTTGCCCGGACAGCGGCACTACGGCCTACTCTTATATCGAATTCCAACTGCCAAGGGATCTTTTACGTGCACGCCAATGTGTAAACGGGACCTCGGTTTTTCGTCCCATCCGAACGACTAGACAACTTTCCTTGTCAGCCCCTCCGTCCTGCATCACTGACAAGGGAGAACCACGCCGGAAAATCTGGATGAACTTTCTCGGCCAATGCAGGGATCGAACACCCGACCTGATCGTGTTGGATAGTTGATTCGAATCCAATATCAATTTTAAAAACATTACAAATCAGATTCATTTTAATAAAGTATCTGTTTTGAAGGCTAAAAATACAGTTTTTGCCAAAATGACGTTACTTCTGATGAAATCGTAAATAGCATTAGGTATCACACAGTGAAAATTTTATGAGAATCGAATAATAATTGACATTTTTTTGGACCAAAAACCTTGAAAAGTGACCTGTTGAAAAAAAGTCTATTTCTCCGCAACTGAACAAGTTAGAAACCATTTTGTGATATCTATATGATCGTTTGGGTTCATTTTATTAGTTGATTCGAATCAAATATCAACATTTTAAACAAATAACAAATACGACTCATTTGAATAAATTACTGGTTCTGAAGGCTATAAATACAATTTTTGCCCAAATTACGTCATTTCCGGTGACATTGAAAATGTTTAATTGGTTTGACCTAGTTAAAATTGAAATTAGGCATCAAATGGGGTCACTTTTATGAAAATCGAAGAATAATTGACTCTTTTACAGGCAAACTACCGTAAAAAGTGACTCATGCAAAATTGACCATTTCTCGGCAACTGCTCATATTACAAACTACTTTTCACATACATTCTCTTCATATGGATTATTGCTACTAGTTTATGAAAGTTGCGAAGAAATATTTTAAAATATGAAAAGCCTGAATAGGTTGTGAATAGCTCATTTTTTCACCTTTTTTCACCTTTAAATTGAAATGATCCGAAAACGAAATAAAAATTAACAAAACTGAGCACGTTGATTTCTGCGCCTTAACAGGACAACCCCTTTCAGTCATACCAGATTTGAAAAAAATAATCTTTGCTTTCAAAAAGTGGTACCGAACTGTCAAAATTGCAGTTTTTGCTAAATTTACGTCACTTCCGTTGCCGAAAAGAAAATGTACCAGTAGCAAAATAAATGACATTTTGGACCACGGAGCATATGAACTTTGTTTTATACAAATCGAACAATAAATAATTAATCCAGGACTGAAAAACTGAATTAGCCAATGGGGGCCAAGGAAAAATACGGTGACAACAAATGTTGCCATTTTTGGTCAAATCAGATGACTCTCTAACACTAGGTAAAATACCACATAAAAATATTCATTAATAAAAAAGTTTTTCGTAAAAATTTAAATTTTCAAAATTTGGCGC